TCTTGCTCAGCACGTATTTGTACACAGTTTATTCTTTGTCTCTGGTTGCTGCCATGAAAAACGTAAGGAAATTTTGTTTTCTTGGAAGTGTTGGGCAGTGGTCAAGCCATGTAAGGCGTTTGTGGATAGCATCATTACAGAAGCGGGGCCAGATGTTAGCCTGCTCCTCAGATCTCCCTCTTGGGTCTGCACAACCTCGTGAGAACAAAGTCCCTGGTGAATGTTTCAGGGTGTGTTTCCGCAGTGTGGGCTACTAACAAACCCCTCTGGGGCTCAGCTTTGTGGCTGCTCCTGGCCAGAGCCTGGCCTGGGGACACGGTGAGGATGGGGTGTGAGGAGGATGCAGAGAGGCAGCTGCAGCTGAGCGTTTGGTGGAGCTTGCAAGGAGAGGACGCCGGGAGGGCTGAGCAAGGCCGCGAGCGCAGCGCGGACCTGCCGAGGCTCACCCCGCTTTCTGAAGCAACGTCTTCAGCGGCGCTGTGTGTGTGTTCAGCTCGGGTTCCCCCAGACTTTCAGCTCATTCCGTATTTCGTGAAAATGAGTTCATTTGTGCCGTGCTGCTGCCTCTGTCTGGCTGTTCACCACGTACGTGCTTGCCGGTCTCACATCTTTAAAATACGCACAGGTGGAAACACACAGCAGTAGCAGCTCGTTGCAGCCGTGGAAGACTCTGCCCGCATCCTTGCTTCTCGCCCAGAATGAACTGCTTCGTTTATTTCTAATGTTTTAAGAAATTACATTTATTTTTAAGCGCTGCTTTTGAATGGAAAAGCATTGGAGGAGGGAGAGCTGGGAGTGGCAGGCCTGCCCTGGGGGGAGTGAGTAATTGCACAGATAAAAGCTGGAACACGCTGTATTATATCCTTAATCTAATACAACAGAAAGCGTTTTTGTTGGACGGGGAATCACCTTCTGCTCAGTGGAAGTTTTGGAGGTGATGTCACCGACGTTAATGAATTAACGTGGTGGTCGAGAGGGATGAGAGCCTTTGGTCGGCTGTCGAGATTGCTTGCCCGGCCTCTGCGGAGCTGCCTCTTTACTCAGCGCAGCCCTGCTCGCGTGAGCTGAGAAAAGCAGGGGGGGGCGTTTCACAGCGAGACGGGGGCAAGCGTCTGCTAAAAACTTAAAATTCCACTTAAATTCACACTTCACGGCCTTCCTCTTTGGAAGCAGAGGTACACCTGGAGGTGACCTGTGCAGCCCCATCCCTCTCTGGCTCTGGGCTAGCGTTTATTCCTTCCACGCTGCCCCTGCCCGGCGCTGGCTGCTCGTCACCTGCGTCAAGCAGCTCCTGGTCAGGTAATTTGCTTGGGCTCAGGTTTCCGCCGCTGCCCCCTCCGGCCATGTCACCCTTCTCTTGTCTGTGGGGCTGGCTGGACAAGGGCACGCTGAGAGTGCTATGCTTCTGTTCCTGTCTGCTTGCAGAGAAAGAAGGGGACAATGGGGGAGGAAAAGAAAAAAGGGAGGGAACGGCACCAGAGGAGGAAGAGTTGGTGTTTGGCTCGTAGAGCCAAAACTTCAAAAGTCAAAGTCTGCCTTCTCCCCTCCAGGCTGCAGTGCGACTGCCAACACAACACCTGCGGCGGCTCCTGCGATCGCTGCTGCCCCGGCTTCAACCAGTTCCCGTGGAAGCCAGCCACCGCCGACAGCGCAAACGAATGCCAGCGTAAGTAGCTGATGGCTGAAGTTGGGTTTTCCTTCTTTTCCAGCTGTTTTGCAGGCGGGAGCAAAGCACGGATCAGACCGTAGGGTTCACGCAGGCAAGTCCGGTTGCTCAATTCTGTCTCCAAGATGAATTGGGTTCGGATCTGTTTACATGCAGGACATCTTTATTTGTTTAGCAGAACCCTTTGCTAGATGCCGACACTGGAATTTATGCTGCACTGGGAATGCAAAACATGGAGCGTAATTACATCACTTGATCTGTTATAAATTGAAAGCCGCAAAGGACAGTTGGATCTTGTTCCTGTGGGTTTATAAAGAACACCCTCACCCTGTGTTGAACTTTACAGCTCACCTCCATCCCTGGTGGGGTAAAAGCAGATACAGTCGGGAATGTTGCCCTCTGCACCAAACCACTTGAGGTCTCGAAATTGGATGATATCTCTTTCTTGTCTCTACATGCCCGTGCATATTTTACTTCTGGTTTTATGCCTGCTGCCTTTTTCAGTTTGTAGACTAGACCTTGTGAAAGAGCCTGTTCTCCCATGCTTTTGAAGACCTCTGGAAGCTCTGAAAGAGCACACAACCCTCCAGCTGCATTTGAGCTGCATTCCCCATTGAAATGTAACCTGTACAGTATCGGACCCATGAGGAAGGGTTTGATCTTGAGATCAGGCAGAAGGACCTTCAAGGAGCAGTGCCTTAACTGATGTCTCTGTTTTCAGCTTGCAATTGCAATGGCCACGCCTACGACTGCTACTACGACCCGGAGGTGGATCACCACAAAGCCAGCAGAAATCGTGAAGACAAGTTTGAAGGGGGAGGTGTTTGCATCGACTGTCAGGTAGGCCAGAAGGTGTATGATAGAAGCTGTTGCAGATCCTTGTGTGTGTTTGCACTGTCAACCTGGAGTGCTGCCTTGCTGGCAAACTCCCTCTCCACCCCCCCCACACTGTTATCTTAATTAGGTATCCTGGAAATTTGGGCTCTTGGCAACAGGTTTAAGACATGTGCACTAGCAATGAAAAAGCACTGGAATTCCTAGCCATCCCTCTGCTAGAGTAACGTTGCCTTTCTAACGCTTTCTGGGTAGGTCTTCTGAGGCACCGAGCATTGGTTTGCATCTGCTTCTCCCGGAATCCGGGGGAGTTGGGTCTTTGACCTCCGGAGGGAACAGAGTGAAGCTGATGCTGAACACATTGGAAAGTCCCTGCCTAGTTTGCAATGCTCAGGTGCTGCCGTCTCTCTGGATCGCTGTCTGACCACTGAAATGCTGATCTCCTCAGCCTTTGAGGTTCCCCAAAAAAGTGCCTATAGAGTAGTCTAGTAGCTCTTCTGCTGCCAAGGTGACAGTGGGCTTATTCATGTCGTGGCAGGAATCTGGAGTGACTTTCAGTTCTACAGTCTTGCTGCAAAGAAACGGATCGCTTGTGTCGTCCTAGCGAAAGCAGTCAGGACATTTTACCATTTGAAACGAGCAGAATGGGCTTGAGGTCAGGTGTGAACCTGAAACTTGGATAGGGCTGATGGGACGATACACAGTTTGCAGGAAAAACCTCATTTTCAGATGGGCTTATGTGGAATTTTGAGCAGTATGGGTCTTCCATGTACTGACGTTCCTGAGTTGCTCCCTCTTGATCCTGAAGTTGCAAGCAAATCTGGCAGATGAGCTTGAATCCTCTCCTGTTTGGCAGAGGAACTCATGCTCTTCTATCTCTCTCTGTCTTTCAGCATCACACCACGGGCATTAACTGCGAGAGATGCATCCCGGGATACTACCGATCCCCTGATCACCCAATCGACTCTCCGTACATTTGCTATCGTGAGTGTGATTTGCCCTGCAGGTCGTAGATGCTGTCTTGGTCTTTGTGACACTGGGGAGGGTGGTCTGGAGTATCGGACTGAGAGATTTTTCTGGTGTAGTGGGCCAGCAGCACCATGACAGACGTGGCCACGTGAGCCATGCACAGCTGTGCAGTTTCTTCTGCAGCTGACGCTGCCCAGGGAAATGCGTGTACGCACACAGCTGCCCGTGCGCACAGACAGCATGTGTGTCCGCAGCAGCCATGAAATCAGAAGTGGTTGCATATTCCAAAACTAGAATGAGCTAAAAATGTATTCTCAACCCTACTGTGCCTGCAGAGAGGTCCAGTCTCAGCTACCGTTTCCGCATCCTTTCAGCTGGCAGTAGCAGTCTGTAGCTCTCCATGCAGTAGACAGGGATTTCCAGGCAGCGGTTGGTTATAGCCGTCTGGCTGGGAAGCCCAGCTCGTTTTGCTAGTTGTGATATTTTGGTTCTTCTGCACTGCCTCGTAGCAGCAGTGTGTGGCCACCTTCTCTCCAGGGTAATTTGCGGAGAAGTGAGTTGGGTTTGTGCTGCTTTTCTTAGGACCCTGCGATATGACAAGGATAGTGGGCAGCAGTTCCCCTAAGCCAGACCCCATTCAAAGGGGCAATCATACCTTTGATTTTTGGAGAGCATTTGCAGCAGACAGCGGAGGCTCTTTGCTCTCTGGCTGATGGTTGCAATGATATCCCTCCTGTGCTTGTGGCTGGTGAGGGTTGTTTTCGGGGATGACCGCTGCCGTCTTCTCGCTGTCCACAGGTTGCAACTGTGAGTCAGACTTCACAGACGGCACCTGCGAGGACCTCACCGGGCGCTGTTACTGCAAGCCCAACTACACCGGGGAGCACTGTGATGCCTGTGCTGAGGGGTACCTCGACTTCCCACACTGCTACCGTAAGTGCCAGGGCAGCTCAGTTGGGGGGAGCTGGCACACGGGTGACGAGGTCTGAAACCCTGCAGATCCAGCAGCTGCAAGAAGGACTAATGTTACAGCCCCTGGCTCGCCGGGCATCGCTGCTGAATTCCCTTGCCCTCAGCAGGGGTACCCGCAGGCACGGACAAGCCCCCGTTTGGCTTCGATGGAGCCTGGAGCAGCGCAGAACTGCGATGAACCCAGTCCTGGCTCTCTGGAGTCAATGGGGAGTTTTCCATTTGGCTGAAGGCTCATCGCTTGGTTTCTGTGTAGGAGAGAGACAGAGCTCTCTCCAGAGCCTAAGGGAAGGTTGAAATTGGCTAGAGTTAATTTTTGTTCAGTGGGATGTGTGCATCTTGTTGTCATGGTCCATGTTTTTGTTCAGCCCGTTTAGTTCAGCCCATTTAGATGGTCCCCGGTTAGTGGGGACCATCAACCCACTGATACTCCAGGCAGGATTTCTTTGAGCATGTATGAGATGACTTGGTGCAATGTCTCTTTCTCCACGTAGCTATTCCGGCTTTCACTCACAACGATACTGGAGAACAAGTGCTCCCTGCAGGACAAATAATAAGTAAGCAATGCAATTTTACTTGCTGCTTTGGCAATCTCCCTGCTAGTAGTAGTATTATATCTCACCACCCAAGGCAAGGTCAGGTCCTCGGCTTACTGCGCACATACATTGTGAGCGACGGCCCTGATATGCAGAGCTTGTGCCTCTGAGAGAGGAGGCAACTGAAGGGTGGAAGGAAAGAAGTATTATGATTCCTTTTTTTTTATCAATGGGGAAGCTCTAGCACAGAGCAACTGCCTAATTCTGTGCTCGATTCTGCCATCTGTGCCATGTGGGGAGGTCCCTTCTGGCCTTTCTGCAGGAAAACCCCTAACATCACGTGAAGACTGTGGCTGAGCTCGAAACTGAGCTAAGTTCTCCCAGATCCCAGCCTTTGAGCTTGTCCTTCTGCCACGTCTGCATGCTCTCCGTTTTCCCAGCCGTGGAAGGCACAGCTGGGCTGAGCCTGTGCCCTCCTCCGGCACAAACCTTTCCTGGGGGCACCACGTGTGTGCTTGCCTCCGCAGCACTGCTGCAAGCATCTGGGAAGCACGTGCAGACGTCAGGTCCGGTCACTCTTGCTTTCTCTGTTGCTTTGAATTCTCTAACATGCCCTTATCCTTGTTCCCTTCCACCTCTCTCGTCTCTCATCCTTACCCCTCTGAGTCCATTTCTTCCCCTGTCTTTTTTTTTTGTCTCCTTTCCCGCTGAGTTCTCCCTTGCCTCATGCTTCCCAGGGCGCTCCAGATAACCTTTTCCTTCCTTCTGATATTTTGAACTCTTTATCTTCCAGGCAGATTTTTCTTTCCTGGTCTGGAATTTCTCACTTCCCTTCTCATTTCCTCACCTCCTCCTTCCTCCGGTTCTCAGACGGTTTCTGCACTGCCCTCCCCCAGCCCTGCGCCCCAGGCCATTGCCGCATGCTCGGGACAGGCGGCGAATGCAGGGCTGGCCGAGGGTCTCAGCATCGCTGGCCTGGAGCCCCAGCCTTCCCTGGCAATGGGAGATCCCCAAACGCTGCTGAGCCTGGAGTGACCAGAGAGCCCCAAACCCACCCAGGTTCTCTGAAGGCTTTGGTCATCGCTGCAGAGCTCCCGGCTGTGCTGCTGCGGCTCAGCCCTGCCCAGGCTTGCGCAGTGAGCATCTGTCTGCCCTCTGCCTTCCCCTATTGCCGCCCAGCGCCTTGCACATCTGCTGTACTGCCCTGCAACCCCGTGAACCAGGTGCGCTGGTGGCCGGAGCAGTGCTCAGTGAGACAGCTGCACCCAGAGGCCAGCCCTTGAGCCGTCACCTCATTGCGACCCTTTTCCTGTCCCGGTGGGAAAGCACTGGTGGAGCGGGGCCAGGATTGCCAGGCTTCCTCGCTCCCTGCTGCCTCGCGGCAGAGATGTCTGAGAGCGGCGTGCGTTGTTGCTGTGTGTCCCCCCCCTCTTCCAGACTGCGACTGCTACGCCGGTGGGACAGAAGGCAACGCCTGTCGCAAGGACCCTCGGGTGGGCATGTGCGTGTGCAAGCCCAACTTCCAGGGAGCGCGCTGCGACCAGTGTGCGCCGCGCCGCCCAGGGTGAGTCCCCCGGCCCCGAGCCTCCCTCCGGGGAAGCGCGCGTCTCCCCCCGCTGCCCTGCTCGGTCTGCGGAGCAGGAATTCTCCGGCCCCGCTTCCAAGTGACAAATTCCCATGACTTCTGTTGGTATTTCCCACCCAGCCCTGACCCGCTCAGCCTTGGGGGTTTCTCGAGGAATTCCCTATGGACGGGAGCTCTGCCCTGGACATGCTGGCAAGCCGCTCGATTCCCCACGGCTGG